ACGCAGCCTTTTAGCGTCCGGTCGCAGAGCGACCCAGCGTCCGGTCAGTTGACCGACGCCAGCATCATTTCGACCAACTCCATTTCACTTCTAACTTCTCCACCCTTGCTCCAATGTGCCAAACACCAAGTGTATCACCTTATGCACATGTGTTAGCATATTTTCATAAACATTTTCAAGGGTGTTAGCACTCCACTAGATCCTAAATGCATATGCAATGAGTTAGAGCATCTAGTGGCACTTTGATAACCGCATTCCGATGTGAGTTTCACTCCTCTTAATAGTACGGCTATCAAACCTAAATGTGATCACACTCTCTAAGTGTCTTGATCACCAAAAACAAAATAGCTCCTATGGTTTATACCTTTGCCTTGGGCTTTTTGTTTTTCTCTTTCTTCTTTTCAAGTTTAAGCCCTTGATCATTGCCATGTCATCACCATTGTCATGTAATGATCTTCATTAGCTTCTCCACTTGAAGTGTGCTACCTATCTCATGATCACTTGATAAACTAGGTTAGCACTTAGGGTTTCATTAATTCACCAAAACCAAACTAGAGCTTTCAACCGTCAGATCACAACGGCTACGTGCTGACCGAACGCTCCGGCTAAACTGACCGGACGCTGGAGCCTCAGCGTCCGGTCGAGTATAGTAAGGGTCCAAATCCGTTTTTCCTCGACCGGACGCGTCTGGTCCACCTCGACCGGACACAGCCTAGCGTCCGGTGGTATACCCTACCTACTGTACCGCCAGGTTAGCACGACCGGACGCAGGCAGTCAGCGTCCGGTGCATTCAGATCCAGCATCTGGTCACTTGATCGATGCTGGCATCTCCTCTGTCTTCTTCACCCTTGCTCAAATGTGCTAACCACCAAGTGTATCACCTTATGCACATGTGTTAGCATATTTTCACAAATACTTTCAAGGGTGTTAGTACTTCACTAGATCCTAAATGCATATGTAATGAATTAGAGCATCTAGTGGCACTTTGATAACCACATTTCGATACGAGTTTCACTCCTCTTAATAGTACGGCTATCTATCCTAAATGTGATCACACTCACTAAGTGTCTTGATCACTAAAACAAAATGGCTCCTACATTTTATACCTTTGCCTTGAGCATTTTGTTTTTCTCTTTCTTCTTTTCCATGTTCAAGCATTTGATCATCACCATGCCATCACCATTGTCATGATCTTCGTCATTGCTTCATCACTTGGAGTAGTGCTACCTATCTCATAATCACTTTGATAAACTAGGTTAGCACTTAAGGTTTCATCAATTAACCAAAACCAAACTAGAGCTTTCAGGCAGTCGTTGCCTTGGCTTGGCATGGCACCCCCATCGCTGAGCCGTCGAGTACCGAGAGGTGATTGGAATGCTTATCATGGCTGAAGGTCGAAGGAGAAGCCACACGTCAGCGAGCGGAGGGAGAGAGGCAGTTGGGATATTTTGGGCCATACGAGAGAATACACTGGCTTTAGGTACCTTCACATGGGCCCAACGCTCCCAAATACGTAGAAAATGACACAATTCAAGCTGATAAAGAATTATAATGACAAGTTTCCAAATAAGTGAATAGCAAGGATACTTCTCCAAACTTGCAAAATTGTAATTGTACAAATAAAAAACCCCAAAAAACTTTACGTAAGTCTAAACATAAACAGTTTGAACACCATGACGAAATTGGGTTGTGGGTTTTATTTATAAAACATAAAGGGCCTTTTTGAAAAATAGCCTAGGCCACTGCGCACGTGTGAAACGCTATTGTTCTAGCGATTGCATGGGGGGTTAGAGCATCTCCAGCGGTACTACCTAAATCAGACTACCTAAATGCTTATTTAGGTAGCCACCTATTTTTCTACTACTCAAATTTTGCTTTCGATTTCAACAGTACTACCTAAAACAGGTTACCCAAACCCATCCTCCTAGAGAATGATAGGCGGGTCCCATGTGTCATTCTCTCTAGTATCTTCTTCTCCATAGATGAAGCAGGGGAGGGGTCGGCGGAGGTCGGTGGTGGCACGGCTAGGGCAATCCATCATGGAGGACAGTAGAGGCGCGAGCCAGTCGCGGGGAACACCGGCAAGGGAGGACGGAACTCCGGAGGAAGGGGCGGTGCACCAGTAGAAGGGACGTCACGCCAGTGGAAGGGTCGTCGTGCTCGCCTCCCACGCTACGGGAAGGGCCACCGTGCCGGTGGACGCCGTTGTGCTCGCCTCCCACACCGGGGAGATCTACCCGCACCCACGCTAGCGCCGGGGGAGCATGAGCCACAAGGACGGGAGCCGTAGGAGCCTCGCGATGGGGATGGACGCCGTTCGTATGAGTGCGGCGAAGGAGAGAGAGAAGCGTGGGAGAGAAAAATAGTATCGGGGACCAAATACTAGGATACCCAAAAAGGAGGAGCTAATAACCATCAAACGTTGATGCTTCCGAACAGACAAGAGCGTGACTACACCTCTTGCCTAATGACCAAGGGCAATGTCCGGAGGCTGGCTCCGCCTCGCCCAACGTCTGGGGGTAGACTCCGCCTCGCCTGATGTCCGGGGGCAGACTCCGCCTCGCCTGACCCCCCGAGAGCTGGCTCCACCTCGCCTGACGTCTGAGGGTAGGCTCCACCTCGCCCGACGTCTGGGAGCAGACTCCGCCTCGCCCGACGTCCAGGGGGCTGGCTCCGCCTCGCCTGACATCTGAGGAAAGACTCTACCTCGTCCGACCCCCGGGGGCTGGCTCTGCCTCACTCGACCCTCGGGGCTTGCTCCGCCTCACCTGACGTCTAAGGGCAGACTCTGCCTCGCCCGACCCCTAGGGCCTGGCTCTGCCTCGCTTGACCCCCGAGGCTGGCTCCCCTCGCCTGACGTCTGAGAGTAGACTTCGCCTCGCCCGACGCCCGGGGGCTAGCTCCTCCTCGCCCGACATCCGATGGCAGACTCCGCCTCACTCGACGTCTGGGAGCAGACTCCACCTCGCCCGACGTCCGGGGGCTGGCTCCGCCTCGCCCGTCGTCTACACGCTGCTCCTTCATAACTACGCACGCAGACAAGACAGGACACTCAAGTCAACCGCAATACCGAGGACCACACCCTGCACACCTGTAGGAAAGTACCGTCAGGATATGACAAAACTGGTGCTTTAAGGCCCTTCCGGGCATGTCAGAGCCTAAACAGTGTTGTAGGCGTCGACATTTGTTTTACAGTGTTGTGGGTGCCGCTACTGGCCCTCGGGCGCGGATCCTAATGGAACTATACGACAACCACTACGGTCCAAGAGGAGACTCACATCCTCTACAGTGACGGACGTGCAGTCACTACACCGTTCGCTCCCCATGGGGTTGCGGATCAACACCTCGGTCCGTCACGCCGCCCGCCGGGGCGGGATGGGACGTGACCACTTGCTGATCAAGTCAGAGCGTGGCATCATCAACGGATAGACGCCCAGCATGGAGCTATCTCGGGCACCATCTGTCGTGTCAGCACGGCTGGCTCAGAGGAAAAGGAAGACCCGGCACCTTTGAAGGATCTTCTTTGCCTCTGGTTTTCTTCTTTCTCCCATCTGTAATCCCTGCTCCCCCTTGGTCTATAAAAGGGAAGGCAGGGCACCCCACTAAGGGGACGGATCAATCAATAGAACATACCATGCACCACATAACACACAGCTAAGCAGCAACCAAGCTCTCAGCGTCCTTTCAACCTTTTAGTACTAATAACACGAGCAGCGGCCGCAAACTGGACGTAGGGACATTCTGCCCGAACCAGTATAAACCTTGTGTCTTTTAGCACACCATCCGGCCCGAACGCGCAATAATACAAATTTACTAGTTGGTGTTTACTCGAAACACCGATAAATAGGTAGGCGAATTTGTTGGGCCAACAAATGTAGGTAGTGGGAGGGAGGATTTGTTGGGCCAACAAAAGTAGGTAGCCTGTTGGAGTGCATTTTTTGGCCTCCACTACCCAGGTATAGGATAGGTAGTAGGTTTAGATAGCCGGCTGAAGATGCTCCTAGGCCACATGAGCCGTATGAGGGGTGAGTTCATGTGGGATGCCGAATGAGAAGAACGAGGAAGTCAAGGGGATTTCTGCGTATTTTACGCTACCCTCACCTAACTTGAATCACACGTGGACAGAAACATCACATTGGCATTCCACATCAGCGTTGTTGACGTGGAGGATGGGAATGGATGAGCCTGTCGTTGGTGAGGGCACAAGCACACCAAGCCCTTGTTTAGTTCCCCCAAACTCCCAACTTTGGCACTATGCAAAAAAAAAAGATTCTCCATCACATCAAACTTGCGGTACATGTATGAAGTACTAAATGTAGATGAAATAAAAAACTAATTGCACAGTTTGATTGAACTTTGCGAGACGAATATTTTGAGCCTAATTAGTCAATGTTTGGACAATAATTCACAAATACAAACGAAATTGCTACAGTGTTTACCGTCACATCAAACCCTGTGCAAATGCCGATTCCGGTCGAACTAAACGTGCCCCAAGGCTCATAACGCAACCGGTGATAAAAATCGGAGAGGTTTTCACCACCAGCTTGGCAGTGAAAAATAAATTTCACCGCCAGTTCATTATACAAGCAAGTGGTGAAAATATACCAAAGCTACATAAAACATGGGAGAAACCGTAACCGCACTCTTCTCTTGTCCGGCACACCTCTCCCCTCGCCTCTCATCCCTACCTGTCACACCCTCATGTTTGCCCTGCCATCCTGCGATGTGTCTCTCTCCCTCCCACGGTGCGAAGTGGCACAAGCCTAGGGCAGCGGCGTAGTCAGCATGGGTAAAGGCGGCCCCAAGGAATGACGCTTGAGGGGCTGTGTTGATAACGTGGTCCAACAGCCCGTCTGCGCCCCTGGGCTGCAAGTGTCATGCTTTGATGTGCTTGGCCCTTTTCCCCAGCCCAGCTCGCACGCTGCTCAAAGCACACATGCGCCTAGCTCCCAGGATACGAAGGGGGTTCGTTTTTCATGGCCCGGCCCGGTGGAGCGAGATGGAGCGTGCGGTGAGCGAGCTCTTCACCTCCCGTCCTCTCACCTCTCACCTCCTCCGTCCTCCGTTCGCCTTCCCCTCAAGCACCGCGAACGGAGGCCAGGTGCCGGCGGGCAAGCAGGTCGGGGACCTCCTCCTCTTCTGTGCTGACGTCCTCGTAGCCTCCCTGGAGTACCCTGCCCGGCACTGGGTCTCGGCGGGCCTCATGGGCGCGACCGCCGCCGCGGTGAAGGAGATGGTGGTGGCGGGAGGTTGGGGCAGCGTCGGGGAGATGGTGGTGGTCGTGGCGCCGGAGGCTAGTGTTAGCACCGGCGGGTGGGCAACCAGCGGCGCACGGGAGGAGGCGGCGCGTGCGACGCCCCGGCGGGCTCACGGCAACGCGCGGGCCGCATTCGGCGGGCTAGTGGCAACGCACGGCGGCGCGTGGGATCCGGCGGGCAAGTGGCAGTGCGCGGACGGCCCCAGCGTGCGCGCGGCGCCCCCTTGGTGGGCACCCGGCAGGCAGTGCCCAGGCGCACTTGCGGAGTGCTGGGGAGGCCAAGCTGGGCGCTGGCCCCCCTTCCTTCATACACTGTCTCCACTGAATTTTTTCATCTGTGCTTCTTCGCATTTCTACCAGATGTATAAAAGTAGTGTTAGCTTGTTGAATGTATACTCAATCTGACATATTGGCCCCGTCTTGGTTTGGCACCACGCTCCGCCACTGCCTAAGCGGCCCCCCGGCGGGTTTGCGCACGCTGCTCGAGGCCGTCGTGGACGCGCTGCCTCCCGCCGCCGACGTGCCCCTCGGAGCCGCATTCCTCTGCCACCTCCTCCACGCCATGGGCTCGACACCGCCGACATGCTGGTTCTGCTCGTGTTCGTCGCCACTGCCTACCATCTGCTCGACGAAATGCCGACAAGAGAGAGGGGGAGGTAACGCCACCATATTCCAGATGCGAGGTGACCATATCCATCTATGCATCCTACCACAGTCTCTACTGGGCTAGTCCATTTGGTACAGCCAACCAAACGCACCACTTTGGACAGGCCCTGACTGGCATGGGACAAGCCTACGGGCCAAGCCGGCCTCAGCCATGATACCAAACATGCCCTGAATCTGCTAGCAGGAACCAAAGGTGCGGCGGGCAAGGGCATCGAGATCGTGGTCCGGTGGTAAGGCCCCTACTCTCCTAGTGGCAGCGGTGGCCTGCCTCTCCCTCTCTGAGCTAGCAGGTATGGTGGTGGTTGCCAAGACAACGGCTTGCCCATATGACCCTACCTCTCTGAGACGGTAGGCTGCCGATAGGTGCGGCAATGGTCGGCAAGGTGGTGGACTGCCTCTCTCCGAGCGGCAGGCAGCTAACAGCCTGTTCAGGTCGTAAACGATAGTAAATTTTCAGTTAGAACAATATTTTTCTCTCACACCAAACCAGCCAGCAGTAATAATCCATAATGGTATATGATCAGATCAAAGCACCAAATTTAACAGTATTGTAACAAATGTCGGTAATGGGGGGCTGTGGTGGCGGCGGCTTTAGATTTTTTTTTTCTTTTATTCGATTTTCACTGGCGGTGACGAAGTGATGAAGTTCCTCACTCACTTTCACCACCGAAGCGTGAAACTGGGGGTGATTATGGGTTAGGTACCAGCAGAAATGAGGGTTATGTGGTTGTGGAAGTTCTACTAGTGTATTATTACACTGAACTTAAAACTGATTATTTATATTCAATGCCACAAAAGTAGGGGCAACAACTCTCCAACAAATCATCGTCAATATAAATATACATGTTTATAATATGCCTATAATGAGCATATAAATAGTAGAATCTTGAGAGCGTCCCAAGCCCACGCCACCATGAGATTATTCTAGGAACGGATATTGCCACAATGCAAAAGACCGCGGTGGGATCACAATCTTGCCGACAATGCAAAAGAATTCGGTTATTGGTACGGCAACAACGATCACAGCAAACGTACTAAACCATGTATCTTGACCAACGTGATTGATTGCGTATCTTCTCATGGAATCATACACATGCACCCATAGTAAGATCAACAGTCCCTACAAGAGACAAACTTTCAGTTAGTGTACATACACTACATGATCATAATAAACCACACAAAAGAACATGTCAAGAAAAAAAAAACAGAGGAATGAGTAGTCTGGAGAAAGTAACATAGAAGTAAAAGGAGTTGCAGTGGGTTTACAGGAAACATGATGTTCGTACTTCGTTTTCCTTGAAAATTAAGATCATGGCATAGAATTTCCATTGGCCTCCCAACAATTCGTACAAACATATTTTTGTTGCCACTAAAACCGTTCAAAATCAAAAGATCATTTTCTTTTCTAAAGAAAAGGGAAAATAGACCGTTCGAGTAACCAGTGGAGCACCCTAGTAGTGTAGTTAGTGGGATTGGAGGTTACTAAAGATAGTATTTTTTTCTACATGATATGTATAAGGTAGTAACACAAGATCCACCATTAATTCAAGTCAGAGATAACTTGAATCTAGATATAATTGGGATGCATGACCGCACCTCCCCTCCCGCCTAATTGTGCTAGACTCGTCATTTCCTTAATAAGATAGCAATATAAATACAAAGAATAATCAATCTCCACTGATGAATCACTCAATCACTATATTTTTTACAAACCATTGGACACTCGAAAACATTAATAAAGCTAGCTACAGCATATATACCTACAACTTGAAGAGTACAACGCAAATAAAAGAACAAAAATAGAAACATGCATGAGCGATTAGAAATAAATAAAGAACAAAGAATTATCTAATTCAATTCATGTGATTTTTATTATTTAAAATTTGGCTAGAATTCTTTCTTCACAAAAGACCTAGCACAAAAGTAAAAGGCACATAGATATGGTCTGGCAATTCGCATGCATGTTACTGTACTGATGTTAAGTATATATATATATATATATATATATATATATATATATATATATATATATATATATATATATATATATATATATATATAAAGAATAAACGATCAAACAGTTACTATAAAGGAACCAATTTGTGTAAAGCAGCGCAGATCGTGTCTTCATCAGACAAGCCAACAACAAATTGAATGTAAACACCAATGCAAAGTCAAAACATATATATAAAACGTGCCACGGATACTGCAACCACTTGTTCAGTTGTTTCACCAAAATATCAACAGAAGAAGCATTTACCAAGACAAAAAAAAATAACAGAACAGCACAAATGCTAACTCATGTATGTACAGATGAAACACGTAATTTTATGCAAGTAATTACGGTGACTGTGTATGCACAGATGAAACACGTAATTTTCTGCAAGTATAATAATTACTGACTGTGATTCGCAAAAAAAATAATAATTACTGACGGTGTAGGTATGATTTGGACGTTCGATTCAATGAACTAAATCTACATGCTTGTGTATGTGTATATGCTGATCATCGCACTGTGCACGTACCCGGAAGAACAACTTGTACATCCTGTTGACGGTATTTTCCTCGATCCGCTTCAGGGGGTCCGCGGACCGTCCGTTCTCGAGGTCTGCCAACGCGCCCAGCGGCACCTCCCTGCTTGGGGCCGCGCCGCCGCTAGCGCTACTGCAACTGCAATGGCAGCCGCACCCTCCCGGCGGCGGCATAGGTGATCCGTTCCGATGGCCCGGCGGCGGCATGGTGATCCGTTCCGATGGGGAAGACACGGGCGTCGTCGGCGCGGTGGTGGCAATCGAGATAGGAAAACACGTACGTACGGGCCCGTGCCGCGCGGCCACCCTAATAAATCCCTAACTAATTAACCCCTCCGTGTCTGAGTCGAAGAGAATCCAATCGGATATACCTCTAGTTTTATTTACATGTAGCTTATGTCAAATATTTTTATATTTGACCATCAATTTCAACAAATTTATATGACAAAAATTTTTGCTTTTAGATTTACTATAATAAATACTTTTTTATAATTTACAGGGGCGTCCCGGAAAAATGAGAGGCCATGTATGAAAAAAATAAGTGGAGGCCTAATCTCTAGTGACGAAACATGAAAATAATGACATATGTCATTGTATTACTTATATTGCAAAGTATAATGGTATAGAAGGATTGTAAACTTTTGATTTCCCGATTCATATGTCAATGTATTACTTATATTGCAAGATATAGTGGTATAGGAGGATTGTACCCGGGGCAACCCTGCATGCCTGCACGGTGACCTGTCCGGAAAGAGCTTGCAGCACCCTTTGAGATTCTGACACACACAATTAGAGTCCCAACCAAGATATATTATCCAAATCAAATATTTTTTCTCTCGTATCATCCACATATCACATCATTTTGTCTTGGTTCTTGTCTAGATATAGTTTCTTATATAAAAAATCATTTTCTTCCTCTCTTCCTTAATTCTAATATTAGATCACCATTTTGCCTAATTAGCATCCTAATAATGAAGCCACCCTTAGCATGTGTTTAGTTCAGAGAATGGTTTAGGACGTGATGGGACCATCCCAAATCTAACACCATTTGGTGGGGAGTCGAGGAGGATGTTCCTCTAATATGTGGGCCGCCCTAGCTCCTTAGATCGAAGAGACCAGTTCATCCATCATCTGCTCTGTGATGTCTTAATCTTTTCTAGCGAGTGGGGCACATCACATCCGAGCAAGCACAAGACGGACCAGCGACAGCCGGGCAAGTAGTCCTAGGCAGGGGCTTAGGGGTGGGTCTGTTTAACAACAAAGAAGTACATTTAATAAATTAAGTCCCCTTTGAGGGGATTTCGGGGTGAGATGGCGAGGGCGACCGGGCAAATACGCCCCGAGCAAGGGCTGGCTAGCTAGGAGAACACGGCGGGGCAACCTCCGTGCTCTACGTAGCTAGGCGAGTGATGGGGGCCCACCTCACGGTGGATAGGCGGCCACGGCTTCCAGCAGTGGGGCACGGGACGAGGGCGTGCAAAGCATGACTGCAATGCAAGGGCGGTCTTTGGGAGCCCCCTTCAGTGGGTGCGACATTGATGGCGGGGCGAGGGTGGTGTAGCAGGTCGGCAATAGGGATGAGGGCCACACAGAGCAAGGGCGTTGCAGTTAGGACCGGTAGGGATGCGGTTCTGCTCCGCGTGTGCAATTGTGGGATGAAGAAGAAGAAGAAGAGAGATGCACAACATGAGAGGATGACAGATGGGGCCCATAGGAATTTGTAGATGACGGTGTTAGCAACTCCATCCATCCTATCTGATTCCATCATCGTAACCAAACAAGATACAGGGATGAATCAATCCTTCTTAGCCAAACACTAGTTATGACGGTCTCATCCTAAAAAACAAGGGGATGGAATCAGTCCACCTCACTTTATCTTCGAACCAAACACACGTTCAGTTTCTAGATTAGAACTACTCTTAGACCAGTCTCAATGGAGATATCATGAGAGTTTCATGAGAATTAAATGAGGTGACGTATCAGCAAAAATTACCATTTTGTACGTACGAGGAAGAGAGAGAAGACCGGAGTTTCATGGCCACGAAACTACCCAATGCTGTTTCCCACACGTTGGAATCGCATGAAACCTGCACTGAGCCGGTTCCATTCATTTCATCCCATCCTGTGCGGCTACCTGCGGCCTGCGGCAACTCCTCACACGCTCCTCGTGTGCCAACAACCTCCTCACCCGCGCCGCCACCGATCTAA